TTGTGTCCAGCACTTCGGGTCTACTGATTTCTCCTTGTAGGACGTACTTGTCCAGCACTTCGAGCCTACTGATTTCTCTTTGTAAGACGTATTTAAGACTATTAAGATTTGAATTTTAATTTCAAGTTCTCCTTTTATATTTTTTTGAAAAAAATTTTTATTGTTTAAAAAAAAAAAAAAAACACCAACCTGCATTATTGAACCAAACTTTCGAGCTCAAATCATTCATCTATAAGGTTTTAAATGTTTGGATTAAATTAATTGAGATTTTGAATCCCGTTAACACTTTAAAAATCTCCACCCTCTTTCTCTAAAAATTATAAATTGTTAAAAAAAAAAAATCAACCTGTATTATTGCAGCTATAGTACTAATTGTATTAGATAAAATGTAAATTTATTAAAATTAAGACTTTAATTTTAATCTTTATAAAACTAGTTCTCTATTCTTTAAATTTTCCCATGTTAAAAAAAAAAAAAAAAAAATCCACCCTACATTTCTGACTGAAATTTGATATTAGAAGAATCCAGTGGCTGTAGTTCAGTCACAACATTGGACTCCCTTAAGAGTGGATCATCCAAGGTCCGAGCAAGAACGATCGACGATGTTTCCCGGACTCCCATCCCAAAATTGACTACCTCAAAAACAACAAAAATGATACTACGTCCATGAGTATATTAAGGTTACGTTTGGTTGCCCTCCATTATTGTGGGTTAATGGTCATAACATTTTTAAAAAATATAAAAACGTTTATAAATTTAAATTTTAAGTTTTGATAATTTTGTTTTTAGTTAAAAAAAGGTTATATTTGGTTAATAGTAAGGATTTTTTTTAATTTATATTTTTATATTAAAATAAAATAAGTTTAAATTTTTTGTTATTAGTGTTAAAATTTGTCTTTAACACATTATTAAATTTTTAATAATTACAAAGTTTATGATACAATACAATGAGTGATTCTATTTTATGGGAAAAAAAATAAAAAACACGATTCCACGTGCTCCTCCAAATTGAGGTAAAAACTTATTTTTAACCTTCTACTTTAATAAATTTGTAAAATTTTAATATTTTATTTTATATTATATTATTTTTAATTTTTTATCTTTACAAATTAAAAAAAGTAACTCTTCACATTTACAAATTATAGAAAATAATCTTTACTTAATATCAATTTATAATATTCGTCAGCTGACTGTTAACATTCTATTAGTTCTGTTTCTATCAACGTTAACAGTCAACTAATAAACATTATAATTTCACGTTAAATAAAAGTTATTTTTTTTAATTTGTAAAAATAAAAGGTTAAAAATATTATAGTATAAGTTAATGGATTAAAACTTACAAATTTATTAAAATAAAGAGT